GTTTCAATCCAGGTCAGGGCGACCTACAGCTCTGCAAAGTTTGCATGTCTCCCTATTTAAAGCAGTAGTTCACTTTTCAAAAACTTTTGCTGATAATTTACTCACCCCCATGTCATCCAAGATGTCCATGTCTTTCTTTCTTCAGTTGAAAAGAAATTAAGGTTTTTGATGAAAACATTCCAGCATTTTTCTCCATATAATGCACTTCAGTGGGAACCAAACGGTTTAAGGTACAAAAGACAATTTCAGTGCAAACTGTTCAGAGGGCTTTAAATGATTCCAGATGATCAAGCGAAACAATTGCTCATTTAAAAAAAAAAAATAAATAACAAAGTTTAAGTTTATAGGCTCAAATGCTCGCCTTGCTCTATACTGCGATGTACTGTTCGAATCTTTTTCTGAGTCAATTCGTTCATTTTGTTTTGTTCGTTGAATGAACTAAATGACTCAGAAAAATATTTGTTCGTTTTGATGAACGAGTTCGAACAGGAGAGTCAAAAAAGTGCGCCACAGAACAAAGCAAGGCAACCATTTGAGCTTATAAAACTTAAACTTTGTTATTTATTTATTAAATGAGCGATCGTTTCGCTTCATAAGACCTTTATTCATCATCTAGAATCGTTTAAAGCCTCTTGAACAGTTTGCAGTTTGTACTGAAAGTGTTTTTTGGATCTTGAACCGTTTGGTTCCCACTGAAATCCATTATATGGAGAAAAATTCTGGAATGTTTTCATCAAAAACCTTAATTTCTTTTCAACTGAAGAAAGAAAGACATGGACATCTTGGATGAAATGGGGGTGAGTAAATTATCAGCAAAAGTTTTTTCAAAAGTGAACTATTCCTTTAACACACCAGATTCAGATCATCAGTTCGTTAGGAAAGAGCTATGAACTGAACTGGGTGTGTCAGGTAAAAGAGACATATAAAATGCAGAGCTGTAGGTCCCCAGGATCAGGATTGAGAATAGTCTCCTACAACAGGGTTACATGCATCAAAGGTCTAAAAACTGTTTCATTTCCTCATAATATACATTTGCTCATCACCACATTTTCAATGATTCTCAAAACAACTTGTCAGATGAATCAATCTCTCTAAATCCTTCTTTCCTCGAGCAACTTTGCTTTAATTGGCCAGACAGCTCAGTCTGTTGTGATTGGCTTACAGAGTACAGTGCGTGTGTCCGTTGAAAACAAAAACGACAATTGCCATAACAATGTCAGCTCTGCTTGTTAGAGTAAGTTATATAATGTGACTTATAAATATTTTTTTTCAGGTATAATAGAGCATGGGATGGCAGATTCCTCTCACTACCAGCCCCGGAGGAGCATCTCAGAGGACTTCAGTTCACCAAAAAATTATATCTGCAGATGAAGAATTATTCTCCATGTTGCTACAGATTTTACTGACACACCAAAAGAGCTTGAGGGCAGGTATGATGTCAGTGACCAGCCAGATCAATCAAAGGCTTGTAACACTGCTTTGGACACACACTACCTTCAGCCTCACACGGGAAACTTGCTGGACTCCTCAGAGTGTGAATGGGAGACACTGGAGCCTCATGTTATGGATGAAATGGAAAGAGAATGTGGACATGGATCATTCAGAGATATTTGACACAGATTCAGGTCTGCCAATAACAGTACAGCCACAGTCAGCCACAGGACAGGGAACGCTGACCTCAGGCATTGTATCTGGATTGCAAGAAGACCAGTATGGACTACCACTCGCTATCTTTACAAAGGTGTGCACACAAGAAACATTGTCACATCCACCATAGAGTAAAACTACACTTGTGCAAGTTCCGTAATTATAAAAAGCTTGAATATATTTGTTAAAACTGTTTATACTATACAGTAATTAATGAAATTTGGCATGCTTTTATTTAATTCAGATTGCATTTTTTTATTTTAGTCTAACGCAAACATTTTGCAAATGAATGCAAAAGCATTGACATATTTTTCCCTCACATTTCATATCACCATGTCTTTAGGGGCTCTGTAAAAAATGCAGTCGAGGTTAGTTTATAAAGTTTGCAAAGTTTTTTGCACCAAAAAAATGGCCCTCTGCTGTGATTGGCTAACTTCATCACACTGTATCCACGATACCTTTACAGTATCCTCTGTGTTTTCAAACTTGAGATAGCAAGTACTGTGATAGAGCCATATTTATTGTATTGCCCCAAATAAATTAGTTAATCATAAATATCCAATATGCTATTTAATAAAGTGGCAATAAAAGAAAAACCCCTAATGAAGTCAAAATGTTAGCAGGCATGCACATTGAGTAGCAATGTAGCAACTGACAAATTCTCAACAAGAACTTTTTACTCCAGAAAGTAGTTAGAACTTCTACCAACAGGGACTAACTGCTAACCAACCTGACCACTGGATTAAACATGCACCATGACCTTTTGACTTTTTTGGCCTGTTTGCAGGGTTACCTGTGCATGCCATACATGGCACTCCAACAGCACCACCTGCTATCAGATATAAGTGTTCGAGGTTTTGTTGCCGGAGCGACCAACATCTCTTCCGTCAACAGCGCCACTAAGTGATGCCATTGTGGACGTGAGTCAATCAATTTATTTTATTTTTTGTTAATTATGGTGACAGACATATGAGATATTATTACCGTAGGTGAATCTCACAAAGCCTGTCAAGAATGTGTGTTCAGCTTTTTTTGCTTTGTGACGTTATATTCATGAGAGTTAAGCATGATTGTCAAGAAAATGTGTCTTCTCAATTCTCATTCCTGTAATGTAGTTGGTCTACTTTTGATTGTAAAATTTTCTTACTTCTCGATGATGATTCTCAAGATAAATGCAATACAGTCCTGTCCAGACATTATAAATGATGAAAAAAAATATTTGAAATATTATACATGACCAAAAGTGGACATTTTTCTAAATGTGTGTTACATTAGCTACAGCCAGGCCCCACAAAATCCAGCAGTCATATTATATAGGCCACGGTTGTATGAATAATTCTAATATTTATATTAGTTGTATGCCTGAGATTTAAATGAAAACCACAAAAACAGGCACTTTGGATAAGTATTTTTTCCAAATATCTGCTTCTCTTACCTCCCTAAAAAAGGTTTAGTCCAATCTTAAGTTTTTATTAATTATGCAGTCAGTGACAAACATCAAATGGACGGAATAAAATGGGCTCTATGCACGGCGGTATTTTCCGGTGAAGGATTAAGGATGCTCGACAACTTCCGCCGATCGTAGAGTCCAATGCAATACCGAGAATTTAATTGAATTTTATACTCCATGGTTATAATAAAGAAACGTTAGTCACAAAAACAGACAAAACAGACACCCCTCGTTGTGTTTATGCTTCTTTTTAAAATTATATTAAATAAACATAACTATATATAAAATTACATCTAAACGTATGAAAGTTTCGTTTCAAAAACGGAGGACAGTAAATTTTGAAGACCTGCCATAATCCCGCTTTCCTCCGCTTTAATCTCCCCAACCGGAAACTGTAGAGCAGGGGTTTCATACTTTTTGTGTGTGTGGACTACTATTTGTAATCAAGAATTTTCACGGACCACCTCATAATACACATATTATGATATTAAAAATTATATTTATTTTACATATTATAATCAGGTTCATTTGAACAGCAGGCTTCGTAATATCATAATAGAACGTAATATCCTCCTTTGTCACCCTCCCCATCTTTCCCTTCCTGTTTGTATCATCTGTCTAATATAGACCTATATTAAAACAACACAACTAAATAAATGCTCACCTAACCTGTTTCTATCTACCGATCCAGTGTTGTGGTTCTGACGGAGCTTGGAACGTCATGGCCGACCGCCACTAGCCTATTTTAGTAATCACATAATAGCTTGACAATTTAATTGACATTTTATATAATATAGGTACATATTATTTTTACTTTTTTTATAGGAATTTCTTGGTAAAATATTTTATTTTGCCTTTTCACGGACCACCTGCAGTACCTCACGGACCACTAGTGGTCCGCGGACCACAGTTTGGGAATCGTGCTCGTGAACAGAAGTCAGAGTTGAGACGGCAGCTGCCTGAAGTTAATGATAAATTGGTGAAAGAGCAGGAGACTGACGGGAATGTTGGGGAAAAGAAAGAAAAGAAAGAGAGCTAGGCCAGGAGAGTTGTTGTATCCCAGTCGACCAAGACGTTCTTAAAGAGGTTGTATTGTTATTTCGCTGGGAATAAGAAAACTACCATCTACAGCCTGCCGGGTACTGTCACTTTTCATTATCGGTGCGCACCACAATCGACCAAATGAATACGTGGTCCAAATTCCTGTCTTTTTACACTATTGTAAATAGTTACAAAATTTACATGAGTCACGACGCATTGCATTATGCACTTGACCTGCCAGCTGATGATGTATTACATCAAGAAAACGTCTCGGGTTATGTCGTTATGTCGTTAGAAAAGACTCTTGGTGAACGAATGCCATTATGCCATGCACCATAATGCCTGCACTAAGTTTGGCCACTTTTTATAATGCTTTTAAGGTACTTTAGCATCCTTTTGAAAGCTTAAATGTCTCATGCCCATTCATTGTGACCAATTTGAAAACAGCGACTGGCAGTCACAGTGATGACATAATATTTTGTTAAAATAGGCTTATTTTTGTTTGCAATGTATACACATTTTATTTCCTTGTGTTTGAATATGAAATTGGTCTGTTTTGTGAGGTACTAAGTTAACCCATGAACCCTATCTCGGACGTGTAGCGGTTGAGAGTTAATTGTTTTAATTTGCCTGTGTGCAGGTGGATGAAGCCCGTATTCAGATCCATGACCAGAGCTGCGCAAAATGCTGTATTAAGTACAGCTGATCTGCGATTCGCTGATACCTGGTGAAACATGTCACTGAAAATAAAGAGGATGTGTTTCTGGCGGGACGGGCTGGAGGGTGGAGATGAGTGGATAAGGGCGCAGTGGCCTATATGTACACTCGCTGTTATCTTCTGCTCTACAGCAAGGTGCATTCACACACACACACACACATTTATATAAATTTGTGTAAAATGTTTTAGAAAACCTGTTTGTATTATGAATGTGTTGAAATGGAGACTGTTATCTGTTATCTCCAACTTGTGATGTGATACAGTGACCCAACAATACAGCGCAAAACATCAACACATCTAATCTCCTATCCACAAGTTTCCTACGCCCCATGAGGCCTTGCGTCAAAAGTGGGCGCGACTTCCGGTTGGAAGTAAACAAAGTGCGATTTGACATGCTTGACACTCGTTCATTCAACAGTTGACAGTCATTCAAGTTATAGCGATCCAAACTAGCTAACGATGTGGGAACACAACCTCAACGAAATTCAAAAGGGTGAAATAACAGTACCTTTACCCTCCGCAGTAGTTGATTGGGAGTATTATCATAACATTATTAATAATCAATACTCATCAAGGCATGGTGACAGACAGTTGTGCGAGCTGACAAACAATTAAAATAAAAAATACACACTTAGTCATTGTGCTTTGGAGTTTATTCAAAATTATAAATGAATGTGCTACTTTAATACATTAACTGGCACATTTGGTATTCTGTCAACTCAGGCTCTGATCCTGAGTTTAGCTGTAACATCAGTAGCGAACAGCCAATCCCATGCTGATAGAGTTTATAGAACATTAAGAATTTAAACAAATGTACACAGGAAGATTCGTCGTCTTTTGGGAGGTGATGGAAACTACAGTCGTTGGCAAGATCAGAGACGGGCTCTGGCAGGATCACTCTGATTTCGTTTTCAGCTTATGTTCAAAACAATCCCGTTTAAGCCACTAAATTAGTTTAGTCCGGTTATACATACAACCGCGAACAGCACATGTTGTCCCTGAGCTCCGTAACACCATCTCTCATAAAAATTTGCGTCTTTAAATAGTAAAATAATTCTCCGAAAAACAGCTAGCCTCTTCGCTAATAACACACAAAATACCATTGGAATGCTACTTCCGCCGCCTCACCGGAAGTTTCACCCAATTTATTTCAATCAATCACATCAGACAATCACAGACAATCACATCATATCTAGTTTTCAGTTCACCTAACCTGCATGTTTTTGGATTGTGGGAGAAATTGTAGTAACCAGAGGAAACCAACACCAACACAATCTGCACACAGAAATGGCCTCTTGAGAGAATTTCATAAAAATGTCCCTCTCACTGTCGTCCATATAATGGCAGTGAATAGCGACCACCATCAAGCTTTTAAAAAAGAAGCAGAATTACCATGCGACACGTTGCATATGTTCTCAGTAGCACCTCATTGCAGCACACAAGATCCAGTGGGCGGAGTTGGATCCAGATCTAAGGGGTGGAGGTGGGTAGGATTGGGGTGGGGTTAGGGATCAGGGGGTGGAGATGGGTAGGATTAGGGGTCAGGGAGCAGATATATGTTTGTTTAGGTATATGTAATGTGGGAGGAGTTGGATCTGGATCCAACTCCTCCTGGATTTTGTGTTCTGCTGAGGACCATCTCTATGTTCTGGGGATGTACGATAGGGTTTGGTGTAAAAACAATGTAATGTATTATTTAACAAAAATACTCCTGACCTTGGTAGTAGGTCTTCTGTGCATTTATGACACTCTATTAGCACTGCCGTTCACTCTGACTCAACCAAAAAAGGCACACAAGTTGAAAAATCAAGATTGATAAAAACGGAACATGTAATACTGTCTTCACCAAGTTAAACATATCCGAACCAGAACTCCAGTTCTCAGGTGACAGTCATAATGACAGATAAAACAGTGAATGGGATAAAACGATAGATATATTCACCTCAAAAAAGAAAGTACAGGGAATGTATTTCATGTTGTGTTTTGATTTCTTGTGTGATTTTTCTGGGCAAATTGGCGTTAACAGCAGCACTAATAAGTATCATGAATGCTCGCCAATCAGGATTTTCATTAAATAATACAATAAATTTTGATAGTTTTTCACGAATCCCTATTGTACACCCCAGAGCACTTGGGATATATTACATGTGTCGTATCACCATTCTGTGATACTTTTGCATCTCCATGCTGATTCAGTGCCGTTATATGGATGAGTGCAAGCGGGACATTTTAAAATGAAAAATCTGTTTTTGTGGTCCAAAAAAGAAATGGGCATATGACATTAGAACAACACCGGGGTGATTAAATGATGACTTCATTTTAATTTTAGGGAGAACCATCCCTTTCAATCATCTGTTATCTTTGATTTAGAGTATCACTATTTTACCACAAATAGGAATTCAGTGCCTTTTATTTATTTATTTATTTTTTATACAAGGTCAAGTTACCAATTGAACACACATCACTGCAGGTTCATGTATGTGTACTGTTTTGTCATTGTGACTCTGGGGTTTTATTTTTTTTTCATTTTTTAAAATATTTTTTATCAGATCATGAGCGGCTGTTGGCGGATTATGGAGCTGCGTTCACATCTGCCTGGAAAATCACACACAACTACAGAGTGTGGATCAGCAACAAGCATCCAGCAATGGCCGAGATCACTCCAGGGTATGAGAACTGAGACAAAAAATCTGAATAGAATACTAGCAGTAATTCTGCTACTGCTTACTATTTTGTATAGTTTGCCTAAATAAAGTCAACCATATTTTAAAAAGGAATTTTCTCAAAATATATGAGAACGGGGATGGTGACTGCACAAGCATGTGCACGCCGTCAGTGTTTTCACAGATTCGCGTTTTAACTTTTTCAAGTTAATTTGCACCTTGGAACCTATTTTTACGAGCCACCAGGAACTGTTGTTGTGCGAATGAGCAGGCCGGAGTGCATTGGGTTTTCTTTTAAAACTGCGTCAGGTTACAGGCCCCTAAATTACTAATGACCTAATCACTAATAAGTGAAAATAAATGTGTAACTGTATAGAACATGAAAGTGCGTTAAACTTGAAGCTGTTAAAGAAACAAAGCCAGCAGGCACAATATTACATTTTTTCTGCAGAATGTTTTGTATCCCTTTTATCTGACATGATCTGTCATTAACACTGCAAGAAGCAATTGCATAAACCGGTATAACATTAGGTTGATTATTGTTTATTCACGGCGTTGCAAATTAATTATTAAACCAGATAATTTTCCCTTTTTCAAACATGTACTGTAACCTCAAAACGATGAAGGTCATGTTTAATAACAAAACACTAATTTTGAGCATTTAAATTTGTCAAATTGTGTTACAATAGTCCCTGGTCTCCACTATTTAAACATGGAAGGCGTGCATTATTATATAAGCAACTCAGAACACGAGGTCTCAAATTGTTAGGAATATTTTAAGAACTTTGATATAAACTACCTTCAGTAGAGCTTGTGCGGACATGAATGTACTATACAAACATAATTACAAACTTACTCAATTAAAATGAGTATAATGTTCAGTGACTTTATGTTAGTTTACAAAACATGTTTACTTGCACCCTCCTTCATCAACTACCATTTTATCAAGTTCTGGTAATTTAATGTTGTCATCTTTTATGCATCAAGAGCATGTGTTGCTCAGTTGGCTGTTACATTTCAAATTAAATTTTTTTTTAAAGGGATAACTTTCAAAGGGATGCCAAGCATGTTTATGTCAATAATAATTTTCAACAAATGTTTTACCATAACACAGAAAATTAAGGAGGGAATGGAAGACGTTATGTTGACGTGACGACATAATTGGGATCACTTCAGGAGCCCTATCATCTTCGAGTGTCTACAGCCAATGAATGTTGCCGTGCGTGAATCGCGCCATGTGTAAACAGGAAGTGGCTGCACATTGTTTTTCACTGAGGTGCCAAGATCGTGAAGGCTGTTACAGCTATGGTCAGCAACAGTGGTGACGTAATGTTTCTTATCAGTCGCTCACAACGTAATTGGGATCCCTATGGAAAACGCAACAGTCGCTGCCACATCCAGCGCCCCACACAGTGGAACTCTTGGATAACACTGGGAAAGCGTGGCTTTCCAGTGGAGAGGGATGCTGCGGAAGCCACATCCTGCCCGAAGGTAGGTAACATGAAGAATACACATATGGACTGGCCGGTTAGGGGCAGTGCAAAATACAGAATGTCACTGGGGTGGCTCCAGCCTGAGAAGGGGGAGGCAACACCTGGCAGTGACGGCAGAGGGGACTCTGTCAAGGGAAAGACACTCACTGCAGGGAGCTGGTCATGGAAGAATACACATATGGGATTGCCGCAGAGATCACAACATATGGAACCAAGCCTAGCACAAGTTACACAAGCATTCGAGCATTACGCCTGGCTTCGGAAGCTCTGCAGTGTCCGATTGCCGAAGGGGTACGGAAGATCTCTACAGTGTTCGCCTAAGTGGGAAGCTTGACTGGAGAAAAAAGCACACGTATCCGCTCCATGTGAAGGAGAGTGGTGCACCAAGCCGACACTAGAGCGGAAACTTCGATGTTATCTGCTCAACACATAGGCTATAAAACTCGTTAGATTTTATGTTAGCGAACGTGTTAGGTGTCGCCCAGTCCGCAGCTCTACAGATTTCTGTCAGCGAGGCGCCATTTGCCAGTGCCCAAGAAGAAGCGATGCTCCTACTAGAATGGGCTATGAACCCAGGCAGGCAAGGCACACTTTGCATTCTCTCCACGTATAGGTGCAGAGCATGAACGGGACAGAGAAAAGCCAACGCTGTGTCTGCCTCCTCCAAACGCAGCGCTTGCAGGTTCACCACCTGGTCCTGGAAGGGAGTGGTAGAAACCTTGGGCACGTATCCGGGCCGGGGTCTCAGGATCACTGCAGGATTCGTCGGCCGAAAATGCATGCAAGTCTCTTGATGGAGGCCAATGCAACCAGGAGGGTGGCATTGGCAGATACAGAACAGATTTTTTAACTTGGCTGATTGCAAAGGCTCAAAAGGGTGAGCTCTAAAGATCCTTAGGAACCGGACGCTCAGGTCATGCTTTCCCAGCGACTTAAACTGCATTGTGATGTGCGGCGATAACGGCAGCATACACATTAAGGGTGGAGAGAGACAGCCTTCGCTCCAACCCATCTTGCAGGAACGTTGTCGGGATAATTCCGGTTCGCATAGCTATGCAGACGCGACAAATATTTCTGTATTATACATTTTTTGGAAGAAAACACATATGAGATTCCCGCAGAGATCACAACATATGGAACCAAGCCTAGCACAAGTTACACAAGCATTCGAGCATTAGGCCTGGCGTCGGAGGCTCTGCAGTGTCCGACTGCCGAAGGGGTATGGAAGATCTCTACAGGGTTCGCCTAATGCCGAGTTCAGACTGCATGATTTTAGCCACGATTTTGGCTCGCCGACAGGTTTTGAGAAATCGCCGACAAATGCCCGAAATCACAGGCAAATCGGCGCTCGTTCACGCGAGTGACAATCACGCAGTGTGAATGAACAAAGACGCGAACTGAGAGAATCACCGACGAGTCGCCGACGCCCGTGAGATATTTGGCATGCTAAATATCTGGACCTGTCGGCGATTCAAAATCCTGCTGTGTGAAAAGTGTTTTGACTGAAAACTACATCGGCGATCACCGGCAGCCAGTGAGAGAGCAAGATACAGAGCAGCAGGGAGTTCGGGGAGGAGTTATAGATCACATATCAACATGATATGGCATTGTTTCAACAAAAAAAGCTTCTTCTCGGTCTATTTGGACACAATAAATGGAAGAAAAATCAGTAGAAATTTGGCAGGAGCACTCGTGTCTGTTTCACCAGCTGTACCACAACCGGGTCGAAAAAAAAAGTCTCACGTGAGAACTCCGGTCTTGCACGTGTGGTGTCGCGCGTTGTTTCCTTTTCATATCTCACGCGTGTTTGTTGTGTAGTTTGCGTGCAGCGTGCTAGACAGAGTCCGTCGGCGATTTTTCTAAAGTCATGCAGTGTGAAACCTTCTGTCGCCGATCCATCGTCCAGTGTGAACACAGCAGCGACTGAATGCTGGCCAAGATAGTCATGCAGTGTGAAAAGAGCAGCGACCTGACTACTTTGAAAATCGTGCAGTCTGAAAGAGCCATAAGTGAGGAGCTTGACTGGAGCAAAAATCACACGTATCCACTCCATGTGGAGGAGAGTGGTGCACCAAGCCGACACTAGAGCGGAAACTTCGATGTTACCTGTTCAACACGTAGGCTATAAAACCTAGTGAACGTGTTAGGTGTCGCCCAAGCCCGCAGCTCTACAGATTTCTGTCAGCGAGGCGCCGTGTGCCAGCGCCCAGGAAGAAGCGACGCTCCTACTGGAATGGGCCATCAACCCGGGCAGGCAAGGCACGCTTTGCGTTCTCATTCTCGGGGAGGGGGTGTCGCGAGGAGCACTAATTCCGGAAACCAGGTCCAGTTGGGCCAATATGGCGCAACAAGCAAGACCTGCTCCTCGTCCTCCCTGACTTTGCACAGGGTCTGTGCAAGAAGGCTCACTTGGGGAACGCATACTTGCGTAGGTCCCGGGGCCAGCTGTGTGCCAGTGCCTTGGCTCGATCGCATCGTTTGCCAGTAGGACTGCTATCTCTGCCCTGAGCACTCGGGGTCGTTTGCACCTCCGACCAGGGTCAAGCGCACCCTTTGTCAGAGGAGAATGGGCTGTCTGATTCAAGCTGATAGAAGAGCAACTTTGACTAAAATAACCACTCGTTACAACCGAGGTATTGTTCTGTAGACACTTGAAGATGATAGGGCTCCCTGAAGTGATCCCAATTACGTTGCCACGTCGACGTAATGTCAAATGTGAGCGACTGATAGGCAACTTGAACTTTGACTCTCTGTTCATAGACATCCATTCCAGGGTCAGTACAGTGTGGCCGATGTAAAGATCCGCTTGTCACAGTAAGTGTTGCACTATTACTACTATCTTGTTTATATACTCCTTCATCAGGTAGTTTTAATATCCATATAAAATGTCTGTAGAACTTTAGTTTAATTAGTAATTTATGTTGAATATAAAAAGGTAGACATCCAAAATGGTTCACTAGTGCAGTGTTTCCCAACCCTGTTTCCCAACCCATCTGATTATGAGCTGATGAATTGAATCAGGTGTGTTTGATAAGGGAGACGCGCAGTGTTGGTGTGCCGCCAGGAACAGGGTTGGAAAACACTGCACTAGGGAATATGCAGTAATTATAAAAGGTGTTCTCCCCACTTGAACTTTAAATTATCTGTTTGAATTTGAAACCTTTATTTTGAACATAGAAAAGAAAGTATATAAAAATATAAAACAAAGTTTAAAAACATAAGAGAAAAAAACAACAAATGAGCAGCAAAGTACACTTTTTTTTCCTGTTAACATTACTAAAAATTTGTCGCTAAAACCTGCATTATATTCTGTGTAAACATACATATTCTGTGCTTGAAGTGGGTTTGTGTGCACCGGTACGGGTATTTCTGTTCACTGTTCAGGAAATTCTTCTTCTGAATTAAATTGTGACAACAATCATGCCCTTTTGTACAAAGGCCCAATCTTTGAAGACAACAAATCCAAAAGTGAATTGAATGTGTACAGGGCCAGAGTTGCTAATGTATTGATTTATTTATTAAGCAGTACTTTCCCCCAGTACTTCATTTGTTTTTTAAGCAGTACTTCCTCCAGTACTTAACGGACCCCTTTTTAAGTAAAGCACCCCCAAAACCAGTACTTAAAAAGTTACTTTGTGCCTTGTTGTGAAAGAAAAGCAGGTGCCAGTTGTTCACTGGTGGGAGGTGGGAAGGAGCATACATGTATAGAAGTGCACCCCCATGTATGACAGCTTCTCAGAAGTCTTAGTCTCAGAAGGGGTTAATCATGGAATTGTACAAGAAATTGTCAAATTGGATGTTTTTGTGATAGCTCACTCCCGCTCTTTCAGTTCAATGCAGAACAGCGAGCGTGGGAAGAAGATTGGGAATGCTGTGATGTCAACGAGCAGAAGTGTCGTGCAAACAGGAAAGGCTGTCGGTAAGATTAACAATAGATTACAATAGTTCACTTGTTAATTCTTTCTTATTTCACATTGAACTTTCCCATTCAATCTGTTCTAGCAGTACAAAACAGCCAAACTGTGCACGTAGTACATGCCATTTACAGTACCTTGTGAAAGTATTTATACCTGGCATTTTTCCTCCCCACATTTTGCATGTTGCAACCTTATGCTATTTTTTTTTTTTTACATCAATCTACACTTCATAGCACATAATGACAAAGCAAAATACACAGTTGTGTAAACGTATTGCAAATTTATTAAAAAGCAAAAACTGAAATGATTACAATCCTTAACTTGGTGCTTAGTTGAAGCACCCAAACTTTGCTCATCTTAATTGGAGCCATTGTTGAACTGCCATTTTTAGGTCTAAGATTTAATTGGGTTCACCTTCAAGATATCGCTAAGCCACTCAAGAACATTCAACCCCGGTTTCACTGACAAGGCTTAAGTTTAGTCCCAGACAAATTAACTTTCCTTCTGTAAGTTTCTCCCATCTCCAGATATAGGAGTTCAGCCAGAATTAGGGCAGCATGATTTAGAGAAATTTAATTTAAAAAAATTATATAAATAAATATATATTATTTATATAAAAATCTTTGACAATATTTTCTTCATTTTTTGTCAGGAAATCTTTAACAAAAAACTTCTGTAAACCTCTACACTAGAAAAAAAAAACCATAATGATTAACATGTCTAAATTCACATATAAATTTATTTAGAGACAAGTACTATTTTTCCCATTCACACCCAAAATAGGATGATGTGATTGTGAGAATTACTAAGTACACACATGTAATGTCTGTTTCATGCATGCTGGAAGCTCTCTACAATGTAGCAGAAATGTAAGCTTAAGGGTGCGCTCATACTGAAATGAATCCCATTAACAGTTATGGATCGTATTTAGGAACATAGTTAATTCACTCATTAATTATCTCTCCAGTTCCATGTTATTTTAAGTTAATATTTACCGAACATTGCTGTAAATATAGTAGTTGCTTTGTATGTCATGGGAGCAGTCCATTTCCCTCCCAAATCATTCATTTGTACATGCACAGCATAATTATTTATATTTTATGTTGGTTGGAATTCTGAACCGACCGCCACTGCAGACCTCTTTGTGATTACGAAGGTAAGCTAATGGCTGAATCGGAATTTATAAGCAAGATCACGGGAATCAATATCTTAATACAGCCCAGTTGTGCTAAAATAAATATGAGACATCCATCATCAGATGAAAGCCTACTATCCATGCGAACATGAACACTAAGCTTTTCTCACTTTTCTAACATATTACACATTGGAACGGTGTTGCTGTTCACTTTTTTTCTAGCGGAAGGAAGGCTTTTAGTGATTTTACTTCATGAAAGTTGCACTAATACATATATTTTTTTTTAACTTTAATATTTTTATTGTGTGGTAAACGTTTTATAAAAGCAATGCGGTACTCGAGATGTGATGTATCGTGAATAAGTCACGGCTGAAGGTTGTTGTTAGGCACAACGCGAAGCGGAGCCTCTCAAACCTTATTGCTTAATTATAGTTAATTATTTATATTTCTCTTGAGCTAATGTGCTACTCTAACAAGGAAGTAATGAGTAAATGGCCAAATACTTTTTGCGGTAATTCTGCAAATGGAACATCAGCGTTCTTGGTCACTCAGCTCCCTCTTGTTATCTATGTATATTTTAAGCAACAATATACAAAATATGTTATAAAACACCAGTCTGTCTCTTTTCATTTTCATTTAAAAAATCTTAAACATATTAATAGCCACACAAATGTGGTTCAGGCAATGTGTACATTGATTATCTTCACTGCTGCACGTATATTATTTATAACAAAACAATGTACTCTGATAATCTTCACTTTTGGCAAGAATGCATATTTAGAAATGGCTCGAAACTTAACAGCGGAGAAACAGGAACTAAAGGAAACCGAACAAAACGTCAAAATAAAATTACACATAACAGAACTCAACCATGGCATTTAAGCGTGTCTGTTTTTGAATTTGTCACAGATTAACTCCAGTCAGTTTTTATAGTAATTATTTTTTTTTTTTTAATGCATTTGCTAAGTTATCACTAATCTGGTATTTGCTTTGTCATTATGGGGTATGGAGGTATATTATGATTTAAAGCATTTTGACAAGGTTGCATCGTAACAAAATGAAAAAAAGAATACTTTTGCAAGGTGCTGAAACAAGGACTGGCAACAATAGCAACTGACTGGCTACTAATGTTAAACACAAACAGCGTTGGCAAGTTTACGTTCTTGATCAAATCGAAAATACCGTCATAAAACATATATACATGAAAAATACATTTACAACATAGTACTTATACAAAATTCAGGTCCATAATGTTTGTACGCGTTTGTCGTAGATACAAAATAGCATTACTAGTAGCTATAAAGCCAGCGCTGGCATTTGAAAAAAATAAAACACAAGGCTACGTCTGGAATTATACATGCAAATACATTTAAAATGATGAAGTCTTAGCCTACTTACAGGTTGTGGCCCACTGTTGCCTCTTGTTTTAAAGTTGGAACTGCTTCATGTTTTAGTAACAGTTTCTTGTTGAATCCGGTGTTGAACTCGTGGAGATTCTGGAAGCTGTCTTTCGTAAAATGCGCAGTTGAGAGAGCTAAATTACGATCGTCATTTTCAGGAACATAATCAAACATAAATTGTATCCATTGTTGACGAAGTATAACGTCCGTGGGAAGCTCGAACACAGAAGACCTGACAGCTGGTGAACACAACTACACTCGACGTCCCGCAGAAATATGCGCATGCCCTTTTTTGCATATTCCGGAGGGGGTTGATGCAAATGTGTGGGTTAGTGACATCTAAAACCCAGCTGTAGTCCCAATCCAGTCGTTTTTGTAGGCGATATACTTCCTGATTTTTAAAAGACGATATCTCTGCTTACACTGAACTTTCAGCGCTGCAACTTTGCAGATACTGTTCATGCACCAACAGCAACATTACACACATTTTAAAATGAAAAAAGTAAAATCGCTGTCAACCCCCCCTTTAAGTAATTATTGGTTTAACGGTTTTATTTATTTATTTTTGGGCACCATGTTTTGTAGCTTTTTTGCTTGGCTTAAATGTATTATTATTATTTTTAGGTCAGTCAGTGGGTGGAGCTTTGACCGTCGCTAAATCAGCCATGTCGTCCTGGTTCTCCATGCTGGCTCAGCCGACCGCAGCAGTCAGTGCATCTCCACAGTCTACGGACTGACTTCTACTTCTAAGTACTAAAGAGAAGACAATACTGCAGACATTGCACATATCTCTATTGTTAGGATATATAACAATGAAGATTTTTATGAGAAAGAAAAAATGTAAGATAAAAGCAGCTACAGCAGCTTGATTTTAGATTTAGTACTCGTTTTAGTAGTTTAATCGTAATAAATACTATAATAAATGCATTTACCTCTGACAAAATACACTACTTTCAGGTGTTCTGTTTGTGATTGTTAATGGTTATGGGACTGGGAAGTTATGGGAAGTCATAAAACCTGTATTATCTGAGATAAGGGAATCCAAATGTTTTTATAGGTATTTTTCCTACAAATATCACACTGATTATCACAAATGAAAAATAAACATTATGGTCACAATCGGCCTATGTTACATAAAGCTGTCGCTGTCCACTTTTCTCACAAATAAATGAACCGTGGCGATATAGAGTCTGTGCATTAATTGGAGCTACATCTACCATTATAGATCAGTCCTATAATACTATAAAGAGAATACTATTTTACAAATATTGCACAAATCTTTGTAGTTTTTATTTATTGATGAAAATGACCCAGGAGTTACATGGTCCTAACCAGAAGATATGTGATAAGATGTAAAAAGGAGTATTACACCAAATTGAGGAATGAACTTGCAGACAACTCACTAAGCTCAAAAAAAATGGTGGGGCATGATAGTAAATTCACTTTCAGGCAGAAGTGCTTTCACAGACATTCCAGCCATTGAACACCGGGGTACCACCCACATCAGTGCCAGTGCAAAGGCTAACATTTTCTGTCAAACCTTTGCAGAGAAGTGCACTTTACCCGATGCATCTGCGCATTTGCCAGCAACCAACATCCTCTTTTGCCAATGTGCACTTCAAACACAAAGACATTAGAAACATTCTTTGTAACCTTGATCCAGCAAAGGCAACGGGACCTGATGAAATACCAACAAAAGTCCTTAGAGAATGTGCAGCGGAATTGGCCAGCCCCCTCAGTCATCTCTTTTAAATTCTCTTTTCACATGGCATGTTCCCCAAACAATGGAAATACGCCAGAGTGATATCAATACATAAAAGAGACTCTAAATCAGATCCAACAAATTATCGTCCCATATCCCTCCTTTCAGTCATTAGCAAAGTGATGGAATCCTCAGTTCATAAACAGCTCTGCCGTCATAATTTAATTTCTAATAAACAGTATGAATTTAAACCGAACCACTGCACAGCAGACCTCCTTACAGTTCGATCGCAGATGTGGAACAATATCTTAGACTAAGAAGGTGAGGTCTATATTGTTGCACTAGACATTAAAGGAGTGTTCGACCAGGTTTGGCACAACGGCCTTCTGGATAAGCTTTCTGCTAAAGGCATAACTGGGCCATTACATTCTTGGCTGCAAAATTACCTGGAAGGCAGGTCCATCCAGGTCGTGCTGTCTGGTCAGTCCTCATCACCTAAACCAATCAACGCCGCAGTGCCCCAGGGATCCATTCTCGGCCCGCTATTATTCTCCATCTTCATTGACCTCTTGATCCCTAAATAAAGATCTGGAAAATATTCACAGGTGGGCAGATACTTGGAAGGTCACGTTCGAACCCAGCAAATGCAAGGCTATGGTTCTGTCGTGAAAGAGGACTCCATCCCGCCTGGACCTGTTCTTTGGGGCAATCAGAATTGACCTCTTTGAGCAGTTGAATTTTCTGGGACTATGTATCGATAAGAAGTTGCTTTGGACTAATCAACTGTCAAACATCGCCAAGCATGCAAAGGTAGGGCACAAGTCAGGAGTACCGATGGAGTACTCATGCCTTGCCTGGATGAACGATTCACAGACCACCCTCGAGCAGCTTGACAACATCCAGAAAAAGGCACTGAAAATCATTGGGGAGGATGAGGACACTGCCCTAAGGAAATATGCAATCAGTCAGCTCAGCCATCGTAGAACTGTTGCAGCAACAACTGTGCTTTTCAAATGCACACTGAAAACTGTCCAGAGGATCTTAAAGCTATGCTACCCCCACCAGATATCGTTTGCCGAACCAATCGAAGAGCACGACCAAGTCACCCCCTAAAACTCCCCAACTTGGAACTGCCTCCCCTCTACTGTAGTAGGTGAAATGACCTTAAAGAATGTTCAGGCCTTCAAGAAGAAACTAAACAAACATCTCCTTAGCAAAACAACTGTAATTTCTTGATGCTTAATGTCACTTATCCCATATTCTTAGTCCTGAGTAGCTGGCAAGCAATTTGTCTGTCCCCAACTGTGGTCCACACCAGATTCCACAAAACAAAATCATCACAGCCAATCAGAAGAACGTGAGAATAGGTCAAACATATTTGTTCACATAACTAATGTTTATCAGCTCTATTTAAAAACAAAGCCATTATGATTTCTACAAAGAGAAATTGTTGGAAAAATGTTAGACTAAGCCAGTTTTCTTTGCAAAGTCTAGATAGATGGTTGGACAGACAGATGGATGGACTGACAATGAAAATTTGTATAGTTTGGATTGGCGGTATGTAATGGCAGGAAGAGCAGTGAATAATCAGAACAGAACCAAGATAAATGTATTTAAAATATTATTAATGTTCCATGATTTATGTACAACATGATTCAAGAAAAAAAAAAAGAAAAAAAAGTCTGATTTGGAGTGGAATTATCAGAAGGCATGGCAAAGTCCTGACTAGAGGAAAGGATGAGCTGGGAATGGAGGAGAGTAATTAGCTTCTGAGCAATGCGATAAAGCTGCTGATAAAACTGAAAGGACCTTATATATAGAGATGCTGTGATAAGCATCATATTCTATAGCCGTGGATCAGCATACATTCAGCTGATGCAAGCTTGACTGACATAACCTACCAGAACTAAAAAAAAGCCTTTTGAAACCTCGATCTAGAATTTCTATTGATGACGCCACTTTAATTACACCAACAAATCCTGTCTTTAAATACAACGGTCATGAAACGAAATTAATTTAAATTAATTTTTGATGTGTTTTAGTTTATCTCAAGAGCATCCAAGCTGTAGGTGTCTTTGTTTCCGCAGTATTTTTAATAATTTTGATATTTTTAGGTCAAACCGTTCTTGTCTGTCAGGCCTAAGACACGAAACGAGTGGTTTGTGTGAGAAAACGAACAGCATTTATATTGTTTTTACCTCATGTAATCATAGCCATGATCTGACGGCAAAGGCGCTTCGGTCTGCATCACTCTTTGTTTATACAGAGATTTCGGAAGTTTAACCTTTCACTAAACATATTTAGATATATCGAAATCGTCTTCTATTCCGATTTCCTGTATATCTAAATATGTGTAGTAAAAGGTAAAACTTCTGAAATCTCTGTGTAAATATTGAGTGACGTCACACGCAAGCGATCACTTCTGTCAGAACGTTGAACATGATTCAGTTCGGTTCAGTTGGACATTGCACAACTGATTCAGATCACTTTGACGTGACTGTGATTACACGAGGAAAAACTATATAAATACTGTTCGTTTTCTCACACAAACCGCTCATTTCGTGTCTTAGGCCATCAGTGTGTACTTACATTTACGAGTCATTAAATCATGTTTAATTTTGACTTCTCTGTGCATGCTCTTTGAGGTGGACCCCTAAACCTTCATTATATGACTGACAGACAAGAACGGTTTGACCAAAAAATGTCAAAATTGAAAACACTGTGGAAACAAAGACACCTACATCTTGGATGCACTTGAGGTAAGCTAAAACACATCAAAAATTAATTTCAAAGTGAACTATCCCTTTAAAGAGTTCGTTCACTTTAAAAAAAAAAAACTTTTGCTGATAATTTACTCACCCCCATGTCATCCAAGATATCCATGTCTGCCTTTCTTCAGTCGAAAGAAATTAAGGTTTTTGATAAAACATTTCAGGATTTTTTCAAGGTCCAAATGATAGTTTCAGTGCAGCTTTAAAGGGCACCAGACAATGAATAAGGGTCTTATCTAGCGAAACGATCGGTCACTGAAAAATAAATAAAAGTTTTATAAACACAAATGCTCGCCTTGCAAGAACGAATCTTTTTTCCAAGTCATTTCGGTCATTTCTTTTGTTGAATGAACGAAATGACTCGTGAAAAGAATTGTTCATTTTGATGAATGAGTTTGAACAGGAGAGTCACAAACGCGCATCACAGAACAGAGCAAGGCTTTTACTGTCTATGGTTGGTTCTCAACAATGTAAAAGAGTGAAGGGGCGTCGTCCATCTTTTTTTACCGTCTATGGTTCGCCACTAGTGTTTTAAGAAGCCAAATGATTAATAGTAATTTTATAGTATTATTATCCCTCTGACTATAATAGTAATACATTGCACATTGCAAGACAAATGCACTGTAAAATAAATAAAAATTTCACAAGTATATTATTTTACTTTACGCTACAGAAGGGAAAATACATTACTTTTGTACTGTACTACACTTGAAATAGAATTGAACCCTTGTGCTTTTAGTTTGATGAGAATTGCAGTTGAGCTTTTGATTTTAGTTTGACAGATGGCGAAAATCAACGATGGTAACCTTTTGATTCATTAGCTCCGGCGGCACTGAAAAGACTATGGTGGGCCACAACAGTGTAGGTAATTAATGGGAAACACTATGAATGCATGCTTATGTATGTATGTATGTGCGTATATAACATGTGAACTATGATAATACAGATGACAACAACATCAATGCCAAGTCAGTCACCAAACCAAAACATCATTCAGTACAAAATATCTCACCATACCCTTGACCTTACCCTGCTGAAATTTGGGAGAAAGGTGAGAAATGTATTTCTGGAAAATGAACCAGACAAAAGAACAGTGATAAATTTAATAAGTCGGGTGTACAGTTGTCATTTTCAAAGGAGGTTTAATTGCATCATGATCCATTTACACCATCAAATTAAACAGTATGCCAAAACAGAACACCAAACGTATAATGGTGACATGAAATATTCTCAATGTTCTCAAACTTGCTATGAGAAAATCAAAACTACACATGCCTGAGGTGGGTCAAAAAACAAAATTGTTTCAGGTTTCAATTAAATATTTGATCTCCATGAGCACATTAGGCATTAAGGGA